TCATTTGTTTTTGAGAGACAAACAAAACTTGCAATTACTTTGGCTTTAAAATTAGGGACATCAAAAATAAAACTTTACTAAACCATGGAAATAAATTTTCTTTTTAAATTGCCTCTTTTGAATTTTCATATTCCTGTCATTTCTCTCCAAATGAACCAGAGTGAAAGTCTGGGACCCATCTCTTTCATTCTGCCTTCTTCTTATACCTCACCTTTATACTTCTAGCCTATCTCCACTAGACTCATGTTGTCAGTCACCAAGACTCAGGATTGTATTCCCATGTGCACCATTCCATTTCCTCTGAATATCTTAGCCTGCGTCTTCAGGTGTCTCACTGCTAAGTGATTGCCATTTGTCTCACTGCCTCCAATCTCTGCAGGAGTTTCAAGCTATTTGTCTAAAGAGTCAGGTAAGTAAAGAGTGAAATGAGCTGGATGAGCACAAGCCTCTTTAAAAGTCTCTACTCATCTCCAGACAATTATTGCTTCTTCAGGGATGACGGAGCAGTGTTGAGAGAAATCCAACTTTCCAAGAAAAGCCAGAGATTCCCAGAGTTTCCACAGGCCTTCTCACTTCCCTTGGATTCCTAGAATTGCACGGACAGAAAAAATGCTGTGTGCCTGGGAGATAGGTTGTGCAAGGCATTGCGCTGGCCAAACTTCTTGAAGTGGTCCCTGAAGTGATCCTCAATGAGTCCTTATAGATCGGTGCTTTGCCCCTCCCGCCCCCCATCTTCCTAGCCAAGTGCCACCCAGAGGAGTGTCCAGTAAAACAGTTGTTGAACCAGGATGATGGTGACGAATCATCTAATCTAGACCAATTGAAACTGCACCAGTCACTTGCTCTCTCTGGACTTGGAACTTTGTTTGTTTTTTTCCACTGCATTTATTACTAATGTAAAAAACTTTAAAAAGAAACAAAATTCATTTTCAGTTCTCCAACCGTTCTCACCCTCCCTCTTGTCGACACAACTCCTGACCCGTCCTCAGGGCCAGTTCAAGACTGAGTCCGCTCATTGCCGTTTTCACAGAAAACAACCAGCAGCAGTGACGGAGGTGGGGAGAGGGCGGCAGGGCTGTCCAGGTGGAGATGCACAGAATTCACAGGGAAGGCCTGTGGCCTCCCAGGGACTGGGCTAAGGAGCACGGCTGTGGAGGAAGAGGGTGGGCCCACCAGAGGCTTAGCGCACACCTCCTGGGCCCGGGTCAGACCCAGAAAAAGGGACCCCAGAAGAACGGGGGCCAGGGAGGCAGTCTAGCGGGAAGTTCCCGGTGCTCCCTGTTGGGGTGGGGGGAGCCGAGAGGCACCCCGAGCCTCATTGGTTTTAGCAGAAACTCTAGTGTGGAGAAGCCACAGACAGGCCACGGACACTGAGAACGGCTCCGGGGGTGCGTGTTCACCAAACACAGCAATCACAGCCAGGCGACTGACGGCGAAGCAGGCGAGGGGCCTTTCAGGAGGGACTGTCCGTCATCCGAACTCCTGGCCAGACAGCCTGGGAGTTCCTCGGAGCATCTGCCAACACAGGAGGCAGGGTTCGCACATGGAGGACCTGAGACAAGCGGCCAGAGGGGTGGGAGGAAACCGCTCCAGGCTCCGGACTCAGGGCAGGACGGGGCTGCTGGACAAACGCACAAGAGGCAGCACCCAGAGCGTCTCCTGCTCCGCAGTCAGTGGCGAGGGGAGAGGACCCAGGAGGCAGCCGAGATGGGGGCCTGAAGGCGAGGCTCTGGAGGCTGGATCCGCAGAAAGAGCGCCCACCTCTCCCCAGTGATGAAACACAGCTCTGAACCCCAAATGGGGGAGGGGACGGAGGGCGGTGGGAAATGCATGGCCGCTGGGTCTCGAGGGCTCCCTCCAGCTCGGCCGGGAAGGCAGGCTCACAGAGGAGGTCCGTTGACGCCTGGGTGGTAGAAGGCACAGAGGTTCTCATATCGACAGCGCCCTTTTTTGGCAAAGTGTCGGCAGACCGGGCGGTTATATTTGTCTTCCATAACCTGGGGTTCATCCTCCAGGGGGCAGGTCTTCTTGACAAGCGGCCAACTCTTGAGCCTTCGAGGATGTCTCTGTTCTTCGTGAAAGCCTCCCCTGGGGGGACTACCTTGGTCTGGCCCAGGAAAAGGAGGGTCAGCACTGATCACCCCCCCACCCAACCCCCAACCGCGACCATATGGGCGAGACCTGGGGCCGAAGCCTCCCCACCCTGGGCCTCTGCTCCGGGCAGCAGGTGGGAGACTCCGCAGTGGCGGAATCATCAGTCCCCTTGATCCTGGGGGACCTCTGCGAAGAGCTGACTTGGGGTCCCCAGGCTTTCCATTGGCCAGGGGGGAAGAGCCCAGAAGGCTGGGTGGTCCTGGGCGGCGGCTGCTGCTGAGTCAGCTTCTTCCGTTTCGGCAACGTGGCAGCGGCGGGGGGGTGGGGGGGTGGCGGCTACGCAGACTTATGTTTCCGCTTCCGGGGCGGCGGCGAGGGCAGAGGCGCCCCGTGGAGTTTCCGGGAGGCTGCGGGAGCCTTTGTGCGGTTTCTCAGGTCACCCTCCCCTCACCGCCGTCCCCACTGCGCTCGCGAAGGCCCGGCCTCCTCCCCGCAGGACGCCCACCGTTCCTCGGCGCGGCCGCGGGCTCTCGCTCTCGGCCCCAGGGCTTTCGCACCTGAAGGTCGCCACATCCAGCCCCGGTTACTATGGTAAC